AGTGCCTGCAGGATCCATCCCTCTCCAAAGGGATGCACATCAAAGGTGGACATGCCCTGAAGCTCACTTGGCCCTGTGGTGTGGAGACAGCCCAGATGTCTATTGGCACTTGGCTGGGTCCTGCTCCACAGGCACAGCCCTGCTGCCACACTGGGAATCAGACAAGCTGGAGGAACCACCTATGGTGGAAATCCATCACCACCACAGGGAATGATCTCCAGCACCACATTTGTGATTGAACTGAAAAATATGATTAAACTTCCCGAAAGCATTTTAATTTCTAATCCTCCCCCTGCTTCCCCACACCACCCATCTGATGTGTGCTGGGTGTGAGGAGTGAGGGGAGGCTGTGGTGGACTTACAGCTGCACCAGCCCCTTCCCATACAGCCCCTGCTTGCTTAAGTACACAGCATTCATTCATTTATCCCTCCTGTAATTCCTGGAGAGCAGGGCTGGCTGCAGCAGGGGGTTCTTCGTCTGTGCTGCTTGTGGTGGGTCTGGATTATGGACAAGGGGCACAATTCCACGCTCTGAATCGCTCCAGGAAAAGATCCTGCTGCTCCCCCTGAACCCTCGCTCCTACTGGGACCAGGATCCCGCTCCCAGTTCTCCATAAACATGGCTCAATCTTTAAACAATGTTTGGAGAGGGCAAATCTTGTGCTGTGCTCATGGAAAATGAGCTGAGCTTTACCATGCTCCCATTTTCCCTGTTGGTGAGCTGGGCATCCCAGCAGGATGCTGGGGAGTTGTTACAAAAATCATCTCAAGGATGTAAAACACATGTCTTAGAACAGCTGTACTGCCCTGAAACCTTCCCAGCCTGCTGTTCACCTTTCTGCAATAATTATGGAGAGGAGAAAAGAATCCCCCCCTTCTCCTCTGCTGCCTTGCAATCACTCTGTGTCCTCACCCAGGGCACGCTGCTCCTTTGCTCCATGTGTGTGTATTTACCACGGCCATAAACCCCATCAAAATGTGCTAATTCCAAGAATGGGGAAAAAAACCAGCACTTGCACTTGGCACAACGGAGAGGGATGATCACACCCTCCCAAGTACCTCTGGGAGAGATGCACCCCGGGATCTGAGCTGGTGACTTGGCACTGACACCATGTCCCTGTGGATGGGACATCTTCCCTGGGGATTGGGAGCTCCTCCACTGGGGTTTTCCAGCTGGGAGTGAAACACCTTCCTCTGCAGTTCTGCAATAGGTGCCAGCTCCTGGGTTTTGGGCATGGAGCCAACAGAAGGCAGAGTGGGGCTCCCTGTGCCTTGTGATCCCTCCAGCTGACCTTGAGGGCTTTGGGTTGGGGACAAGGGGCTCTGGCCACCTCTGCACCTCCTCCAGAATCAGCCAGGTCCTCCGTCCCAGGGGATTTAAACCCCGGGGTCTGTGTGGAAGGGAGGGAGCTGGACCCTTCACTGGAGCCACCAGCACGGCCCTGAGTGGCATCATCGCTCCTTACCTGTCCAAAAAGGGGCAGCTCCAGTGCCATATGCCACGCGGTGGGACGGGCACCACAGAGCCAGGGGAGCAGATGGCAGGTGGAGCAGAGCTGCCCGTCCCGGGGGCACGGCCACGTGCCAGGCACTGCAGCCAAATCCAAGCAGGAACGGGCAGGAGAGGGAGGCTGCAGGCGCCCAGGCAGGGCATCACAGCGAGCCCTGCTGCTTGGGAATTTGCTCCTTCTCGGTGCCCAAATGATTATTTACACTTGCACGGGACTAATAAAGGAGAGAGTGGAGAGCCTGGTGCCTCCTGGTGCTTAGGGAATGGTGACATGGAATTGAATGGAATGGAATCCTGCAGAGGATGAGGGCTTGTGCTCCAGCAGCAGCTCAGCCAGGACAGAGCAGGCATTTGGTCACAGGACAGTGGGTGCCAGCTGGGTTTGGACAGGCTCACCCAGGCAGGTGGGTGCCCACCAACCCAGGGACGAGGGATGGGACCCCACTGCCAGCTCCTCGCCTCCCTTTCCTCCTGTTTTCCTGCTGCAGGGATTGCAGGCACCGCTTCCCTCCTGCCCCTCATTATCTCTGCCTCCTGGAACAGAAAACAGGGAAATATGATTAAAGCCCTTTCACAGGGAACTTATCAGCTGCGGGAAGGCCAAGAGCTTCATGGCTGCTGGGAGAGCATCCCGGGCTGTCAGCAGCACAGCGGGGGCTGTGGCTCCTGGTACCTCCACACCACAGTGCCCACCAAACCCTGACAAGAGGAGGGGTGGGCTGTGACATCTCCCTGTGACATGTTTGGGGAGCAGGCCGGGTCATGGAGGGAGGGAGGGATGTGGGTCAGGAGGAGCCTGCACTGCACCTGCGGGTGGGGACGGCGGGGCCAGCCCGGCTCACGTCAGGGCTCTGGACTGTCAGACGGTTTTCCACTGAAATGGGCTGCTCTGATGCTAATTTGCTTTGACCCATCTGGGCCAACGTTATCAGATCTTGGAGCTTCAACAGCACCGAGATGCTGGGGGTGGGTGGCAGGGACAGCTCTGTCACTGTGTGCACGACGAGGGAGGATTAAAGCCACAGGCAAGTCGGGGTGGTCAGGCTGACCTTATTGGCACCACTGTGTTGGTAAAAACAATAAGATTCAAGCCTGATATGGTATTTTGAAGCTGCCTTTGAGCCAGCAGAAGGTGGGCACCATTACTGTGTCCTACAGGGATTTTCCCAGGGTTGTGTCCAGGAGCGTGACCCTTCCTGCTCCACTGGGAGGTTGTACATCATCTCACTGTCAGTGCCTCAAAGATCCCATGGTGGGAACCACAGCTCTGAACCATGCAGCTCTTTGTCCCTCTTCAGAGGAGCCAAAATTCCCTGTCTCCACCCTCAGACACCCCATAAAATATCTCCTTTTTCCATCCTGCAGTAACTGTGCAATTAAGAGTGGAAAATGAGGTAGAGGAGGTGCTGAGGCTGCACCAGCTGATGCCAGGGGAGATGCCAGGAGCACCCTGGCTGCAAAATGTTCCTGGATCCTAAGGCAGGTTGGGAAGTGTGATGCACCAACAGCATCACAGGGAGGAAAGGCCCCCCTGGGCGCAGCCTCCCGTGGGCACAGTCCCAGGGAAAGACCCCACACTGGGCATCATCAGAGGCTTTGGGTTCCTGCAGCAGGAGCCCAGGTCCCTCGTCCCCATTCTGCTGGATGGAGGTGTCCAGGAGCAGCTGAGCGGAGCTGGAGCTCCTGCTGGGACTGCTCCTGGTGTGTCCCAGCCCAGCCAGGGAGCTTGGCCACCTTCCCCTCCATCACAGCAAGCCCGTGGTTCCCGATCTCAGCCCCCTCAGGCAACGGCTAAATTTAGTGGCAGATGCTTGTAGGAGCTCTGGAACATCCTCCTCACTGCTGGTCCCAGGGTGCCCCAGCTCAGATCACCTTCCCCAGCAGCCCAGACCCCCACCAGGGATGTTCTCCCATCTGTCCTTGCCCTCCCTGGGTGCCTCATCCTGGAGCTGGCAGGGAAATGCTACATCAGGGGTTGTTTGGACTGACCAAAATAGCAGCAGCAGCAGCATCCCATCATCTTTTTGGGAGGGATGATCAACAGCCCATGGAAACTGCTGACTACTGGAAAATCCCACTGGTCCTAAAAGAGGCTGTAAAAACCTTGGGAGCACCTTTCTAACCCCATTTTTCAGACGGGAAGACAGGACGAGGGCGGTGAGGTGGAGAGGGAGCAGATGCTTTGCAGGATCCAAGTGTGGGGTTCCTGACCCTGCTTTAGCAGGGAGAAACATGGACGTGTGGAAGAGGTCTGGGAGTCAAATCAGAGCTCACAGCCTGGTGCAGGGACCGCCCTGGTGCTCTGCTGCCTGAGCCTGGCTGCTGCCGTGGGAGAGAGCAGCCACTCACACAGCCCTGCCGGGGTGGGACTGTGCCTCCGACCATCCCTGAGGGGCGGATCCAGATGCAGGACAGGGAGACTGGGATGAGGAGGATAAAGCTGCCCACAGGGATTGTCACTGGGGGTTTTCCTAAGCAGGTTTCACATCCTCACAGGGATCAACGCTGCAAATTCTGTTTATTCCACACCAAGAAGCTCCAGAGCAATTAAATCAGTCAAGTGTCCTTCAAACTGGAGCGATGCCAGTGCGGGCAGAGCAGCCCTTTGGAGGCCAAGTGCCCTGGGCAGGTGGGGAGCAGCCCCCCAGCTTCCCCCCGGGGTCTGCAGAGCTTGGGGGGCACAGAGCATCATGACAGAGGGGTGTCCCAGATGGGACCGGCTCCTGTTGCCCTGCCCGGGTCTGCAGCAGGGTCCAAACCCGGCTCATCCGGCGCTGCCCAGCCAGGTGCTGTTTAAACCTGCCCCAGCCCCGGGTGTCCCCAGTCCCGGGGACTCCAGGGAGCGGAGGTGGGCGATGCCGCGGGAGGAAGCCGGGCGTTGGCAAGGAGTGCCGGAGTGATGCTGGAGCCGCGCCAAGGGATGCTGAGGCGGTGTTGGGGGTGTTAGGCGAATTCCAGGGGAGATGCTAAAGGATGCCAGGAGATCCTGGGGGATGCTGGGGCCGTGCCAAGGGATGCCGAGGTGATGTCGGGGGGGATGGCAGGGGAGGCTGGAGAGATGCTGAGGCCATGTCACGGGATCTAAGGGGACGCCAGGTGATGCCGGGGCATGCCAGAGGGATGCCGGGGGGATGCCAGGTGATGCCGAGGCCATGTCAAGGGATGCTGAGGGATGCCGGGGAGGACGCCGGGGCCACGCCCAGGGATGTCGGGGGATATCAGGGAATGCCGGGGGGGATGCTCGGCTCCAGACTCGCTCCAAGACCCCCCCGCGCCCTGCAGAGCCCGCCGGGGCGGGCGGCCCCGGACTACATTTCCCATCGCCGCCGCGGCCGGGGGCGGTGCGGGGCGGTGCGGGGGGCGCGGAGCGCAGGCGGAGGCGCGGAGCGGCGCAGGGGCGGCGGGGCCCGCTCGGCCCGGCTCGGCTCGGCTCGGCCCGGCCCGGCTCGGTGCCGGGCGGGGATGCGGGAGGGGCGGCCCGCGGCCCCCGGCCCCGCTGCCCGCCCGCACCGCCCGCACCGCCCGCACCGCCGCCACCATGAAGAAGCAATTCAACCGCATGCGCCAGCTCGCCAACCAGACCGTGGGCAGGTAGGGATGGGGATAGGATGGGAAGGGATGGGGATGGGACGGGGATGGAATGGGGATAGGGATGGGGATGAGGATGCGGATGGGGACCCCGCCTGCTCCCTGCCCACCCCACCGCCCCCATCCCGCACCCTGCCTGCCTCCTGCCCGTTCCGCCTGCCCCGCCGCACCCGCACCTGCCCGTTCCCTTCCTGCCCCACCGCCCCGATCCAGCAACCTGCCTGCCTCCTGCTCGTTCCCTGCCTGCCCTGCTACCCCAACCCAACACCCTCCCTGCGTCCTGCCTGCCCCACTGCCCCAGTCTCATGCCCTGCCTGTGCTCTGCCTGCCCCACTGACCTGATCCTGCACCCTCCCCATGCCCCTGCCCCCTGCCCTGCTGCCCTGGCTCCCTGTCCGTGCTCTGCCAGCCTCACTGCCCTCATCCCACTCTCCACCTGCATCGTGTCTTTCCTGCCCACTCCCTGCCTGCCCCACTGCCCTGATTCTGCAGCCCCCCTGTGTCCTGCCTGCCCAGTGCCATTCCACAATGCCCACCCCCTGCCTGCCCCACTGCCCCTAATCCCACAGTTTACCTGCTTCCCTGCCTGCTCCCTGCCTGTACCCTGCCACCCCCTACCCCTGCCTGCTCCCTTGCTCCCTGCCTGCCCCACTGCCCCTGATCCTGTGCCTTGGCTTCTCCCTGCCAGCCCCACTGCTCCATCTCCCTTCCTGCCTGCTCCCTGCCCTCTTCCTATTGCCCCTGTTCCTGCCCACACTCTGCCCATCCTCCTGCCCCTGTCCTCAGCTTGCACCCTGCCTGCCCCACAGCCTTCCTGCTCCCTGTGTGCCCCTTGCCCTGCTGCCTGCATCCTGCCTGCTCCTTGCCTGCACCCTGACACCCTCTGTCCTCACCTTGCCCCATTCCCTGCTCCCTGCCTGTCCCACTGCCTGCTGCCTGCCTGCCCCACTGCCCCTAGGCCCACCTCCCCTCCTCCCTGCCCATTCCCTGCCTCCTCCCCCAACTGCACCCCTCGCCCCACACCCGGCCTGTTTGTTAACCCCTGCCTGACCCCCTGCACCCACCCTGCCCTGCTGCCCCCGTTGCCCCTGTCCCACACCCTGCCCCCTGTACCCACTGCTCCCTGCCTGCCCATCCCCTGTGCCAGGGCCGGGCTGCAGGAACACCCTCTCTCCAGACACCCTGATGCTGTGGGGTGCCCCCGTGTGCTGCCCCCCAGCACCCCTGGCTGTCTGTGGGGCCAGGGCCACATCGGGGTGTGGATGAAGGGGCTGTGCCCACGGGAGTGCCCGTGTGCGCCGGAGCATGGCCAGGCCCGGGATTTGATCGTGCCTGTTGTGTAATTCCTGGAGATTTTGCAGGCGGGGGGGGGGGGGGGGAAGGAGGGAGGGAGAGGATTTGTTTATTTTTTCCTTCCCATGGTGGCACTGGGGCACCAGCACAGCCAGGGCATCGGGATCAGCTTCCTCTTCCAGATCTGAGGGCTTGGGATTTCTGCTGGCATCCCCTGCATCCCCTTCTCTGTGTCCCCCATGGCAATGGGGGGACATCCCACCGGCTTGGGGCCCATTGCCGGGCTGGGGGTCAGGCTGCTGGCACATGGCACAGGGTGGGACGGCAGCGGGCACTGCTGTGGGGCTGTGGCAGCAGTGCAGGAGAATGTGGGGACGTGATTTGGGAGCGTGCTGAAGGAACCTGGTGTGGGAACAGTGCGGGAGCAGAGTGGCAGGAACACGGTGCAAGAATGTGGTGAGGGAATGTGGTTTGGGAGCGTGCTCCAGGAATCTGGTGTGGGAGCACGGTGTGGGAATCTGGTGCAGAAGTGCAATGTGGGAACGTGGGGCAGGAGCACAGTGTGGGAATGTGGTGTGGGAGCGTGGTGTGGGATCACGGTACAGGGAACATGGCACGGGGAATGTGGTGTGGGATCATGGCACGGGGAACATGACATGGGGAACATGGCACAGGGAACGTGGTGTGGGATCATGGCACGGGGAACATGGCACGGGGAACATGGCACGGGGAACATGGCATGGGGAACATGGCACAGGGAACATGGCACAGGGAATGTGGTGTGGGATCGTGGCACAGGGAACATGGCACAGGGAATGTGGTGTGGGATCATGGCACAGGGAACATGGCACAGGGAGCATGGTGTGGAAGCACGGTGCAGGAGCGTGGTGTGGGAGGGTGGCACAGGGAACATGGCCCGTGCATCACGCTGTGGGAATGTGGTGCGGGAGCGCTGAGGGAGCAGCACTTGCCTCCCTTGGGGGAGCAGCAGGAGGAGGCTGGTCTGGGGACAGGGCGTGTGATTTTCTGCAGGTTCGCTCTCCGGACGCCCCGAGGGGGTTTGCTGTGTCTCCGAGGGGGTTTGGCACATCTGCCCCCCGCACGGGAGGGGTGTCCCCGTGTCCCCCCACCCCCGCGGGGAGCCGGGCACCGCGCACACGCCCGGCCTCAAAATGGTGCCGCTGACACGGCGAGGAGCATCCTCCTTCCCGCATCCCCCGGGAACGCGGGGGCAGTGCCGGCTCCCTGCAGCCCAGGGAACGGGGCCAGCGGCCGGGGGCTGCTAAACCCCTAATCCTCTTAGGGCTCCCTGCGACGCCGGCTCGTGACGGGCAGTGGGAGGCTCCGGTGGTTCCCGGCTCGTCGGCTGCCTGCAGAGCTGCCCCTGCTGCCAGAACCGCCGGGCTGGGATGAATGTGGGGAATGTGGCTCCCTCTTTGCTGGGATGGGGCAGCTGGATCCTCCTCAGGGCACAGCAGGAGCTCGGGGACCATCCTCTTCCTCAGCCCTACTCCACTCGTCCCCATCTCGAGCACGGGCTGATGTTTATCCCTCTTCCCACTGTGCAGTCCTGAGCAGACCTCTCCAGACAGCTGGAAATCAGGAGTAATAGATAGGATTAAGGAATAATAGATGAAAATAGGGAATAATAAAAGGAAGTAGGGAATAATGCATGCAAATGTGGAATAACGCGTGCAAATGTGGAATAAGACATGCAGATGTGGAATAATATGTGCAAATGAGGAATAATTAATGGAAATGAGGTATAATTAATAGAAATAAGGAATAATAAATGGAAATAAGGAATAGAAGTGGAAATAAGGAATAACAAATGGAAATAAGGACTAAAAGTGGAAATAAGGAATAATAAGTGGAAATGAAGAAGAATAATAGAACCCTGGTGTTTTGTCTCCCCTGGGAAAGGCTCGCTGGGGTACCTGCACCATAACTCTCTGGGGTCTGAGGGGTGGCCCCTCCTGCTTGTCACCAAACCCCAGTGGGCCACCATCACCCTGCAGTGGCAGTGCCCCTGAGTCTGGGGCTGGGGTCAGCCAGGGTGGATGCTGTCCTGGGGCTGGGGTCTGTGCTCACGTGGAGCTTGTCTCTTGGGGGGAGATGGGAGCCTTGGGGGCAGTGGTGGCATCCAGCTGGTGTGTCTGTGTCACTTATCCCAGCAGCTCCCAGAAGATCCCACTGGTTCCCCCCCCAATGGGGGGACACTGGGGACAGCAGGGACATCTGCCCAGCCATCCTGCGGGGTGGGCAGAGCCAAGTCCCAACCCCTGGTGGCTTTTTCTGCTTTTGGTGGTGCAATTTCCTTTAAAAAATGGAAGAAAACAGGCAACTGAAGGGAAAACCCTTTCCATGGATCTGTCAGATGCCAGAAGGGGACAGGCAGGAGCAGCCCTTTGTCCCTGGGGTGGCCTCAGCTGGCACTGGGGTGGGGGCAGTGAGGGACCATCTGCAGCCAAGGGACAGGGGTCACCCACAGGGGTCAGGGTTCATGTTGGGGTCAAGATGAGGGTCGGGATTAAGATTAGGGTCAAAATGAGGGTTTGGGTCAGGATTAGAGTTAGGGTCAAGGTTAATGTTAGGGTCAGGGTTATAGTTAGGATAAGGTAAGGGTTAGAGTCAGGATTAGGTTTAGAGTCAAGGTTAAGGTCAGGATCAGGATAAGGATGAGAACTAGGTTTGGGGTCAGGAAAGGGTCAAGATCAGTATTAGGGGGCAAGTGAGGACCTTCTGACCCCCCTGGAGAGAGCAGCAGCCCCTGCAGGTGCTGGGGTGCCCAGTTTGTGTGACAGGACCAACCGGAGCATCCCCATGCTCTGCTGGGGCCTGAGCACAGTATTTATTTTATTTTATTTTATTATTTTATTTTAATTTAATGTTATTTTATTTTATTTTACTTCGTTTTAATTTGTTTTATTTTATTTTGGTCATTTCACTGATAGAAAGAGCTGGGGATGCCCAGCCCAGCCCTTTGTTTGGTACCCGACCTTGGGGACAGTTGTTGTGCCCAGTCTGAAAAGGGCCATAATATTTATCTCCATGGGCTGGAAGAAGGAAAGAGAAGAGAAATCAATAAGTGGCTGTAAAACACTCTGAGGATGTTTCTTGCAAAGTGCTTTCATTTTTATTTGTGTTTATTTATCCATCCCATCGGGGACTGAACTGGTGGGAGCTCCACCCTGGCTCTGAGGTGATGGGATGATGGTACAAGGGTGTTGCCACCCACTCCAGCGGCCCAAACAGCCCTGTGAATTTTCCAGAATTGGCTCAATATGGAGGTTTTTTCCTTTGGGATTAAAACAGGCACTTGCAGCCACGTGCAGCTGGGTTCCCAAACGGCACAGTGGGCATGGAGGACACCAGGGATCATGGCAGCAGCTTGGAGGGGTTGGATTTTTCCTCCTAGTCCTTCCTGAACATCCCACACTGTATCCCCATTCCGGGGGAGGGGGGGAAGCTGTGGCATTTTGGTCTGGATGGCACTTTGGTGGCTCTCAGGGCAGATGTTTTTCCCAGCACCAGCACTTGCACATCAGTACAAAACCTCTAAACAGTGAGGGTTTATTCTTGGTGCAGCAAGAACATTCGGCAAGAAATAAGGACATTTTATTCCGCTTGTACGAAACAAGGACAGAGGGAATAGAAGCACCACCTGGGATTTCTTCCGATGGGATTTGCAGGAGGGAACAACACCCTTT